AATTGAATTCCGAATGTAGCTTAACCATTCCCAGGTGATGAGATTCAATCTGCTTAATATTTTATCATATCTTTAGTCATGGAACCAATCCCCCCGTGACAGGTTCATGACTCCAAATTTCTAGTTAAAACTTAGTCCCGTTTGAACCCAATGAATAAAAAGCCTTTTAAGACCCAATCAACGTTACAGCTCATTTACCGTGGATGAAATTATTGTCACACTTTAATTACTAATATTATTTATTTTATTTTAATTAATTATTAAATTTTAATCTTCATGTGAGACTCATATGATCACTTTATGAGTTTTTTACCAACACTATCGGGATTCGAGCACTTTTGCCCCCATTTCCCTTTCCTCTTACCTCAATTCTCTTTGTACAAAAAAAGAATAATTACTATATTTTTTTAATTTATTAAAAAATAAAAAATTTAAAATTTTAAAAAATATATAACATATAAATATAATAAATAATTATATTAAAATATAATATTAATTATTTAATGTGTAACAATAAATTTAACCAATAATAAGTAGCTAAGGGTAAGGGCTAAGGAAAGGAGGTCCAACTTGATCCAAATTCTGATAAACTATTCTCATTCATGCCTAAAAGAGAAGGATATTAGACTCATATTTTAATGGAAAAGGCCCAACCAAATCAAACCAACGAGGCCCAGATGGAAATAAGGCCTTCCTCCTTTTTTCTCTGTTCCACTTTCCCCCACAACGTGATGTGTGGTGTGGCTGCTCTTCACCAGCACACCCAAAACGACATGTCGGCGTCAATTAGGACATTCCTAAACCGAAAACGAAAACCAAGACCAAGAAAGACGCTGAGTGGGCCCAATGGCTGACCAATGACGCTGGCTTTCTGCCTTAGCAGCCATTCATTGCCTGCCACGTCAACCGGATCTGATATTTTAGGAAAATAAATTTTATACAATTTTTTTATCTTATTTTTTTATATAATTTCACTAGTTATTAAAATAATTAATTATTTTAATTTATATAAAATTTGTAATATTAAAAAAATATATATATTTTTTAAACATTTTGTTATGGGACCAGCTCGAACCGTTATCCTAAGGGAGAGGAATGTGAACTTTACAAATGTGACTAAAGTCACTTAGTCAAAAACCAAGTTCGTAATATTAAATATATTTATTTATGTAATATTATATAAAAATTATATAAAAAAAATTATTCTTATATCACTGTCTGCCAATTTCACATGGTGGGTCCATCCTAATCAGCAAAATCCCCAAATTCTATCCAATTTCAACGTGGATGGAAACGTGCAGTTCGTGCTCCGCATGTTTGTGAGTGGATAATTGTCACCTCTTGTGTTTTATTTTTATTTTTTAATTTTAATATTTAAAAATTATATTAAATTTTAATTAATTTAAAATTAAATTATAACAATCTCATAAAGAAAACATTTTCTCAACTCTTATTTTTTTATTAACAAGAATTGAACTTAAAATTTGATGTAAATAAAAGAAATTAAATTTTTTTACTTAAATTAATAGATAAAAGATATTATACCTTGTATGATAATAATATTTTTTAATGTAATTATATATTAATATATATTAATATTATATATTTTTTAAAAATTTTATATTTTCTTATTTCTTAATAAATTTAAAAATATATAATAATTAATTAAAATAAAAAAATAATATTAATATTTGAAGATGTGGAAATATCATCATCTATGTCTTTATTTGTAAAAGTGTGCTAAAATATCCAAATACCACCAGCTGGACTTCAAATCCGCCAAGACACTTGACGCGCGTCCAAGGTGCGTGGCTTCACCTCCATCATTTCCCAGTTACTTAAGCCTTTTTCTCCTAAAAGATTTATAAAATAATATGATATTTTTTGTTTTCATTCCAATGTTATTTTTGAAAAACATACTCATCTGTTTTTAAATAACAAATATATTTTGATTTTATCTAGGTATTAAGAATTTGAAAATCTTTTTTACTTTACTTATACTATTTAAAAAAAATAAAAATAACAAAACTTAAATTACAATACAATAGATAGTTAAAATTAATGTTTAAATATAACGTTAAATTTTAAAAAAATTATTTTTCTTCTTTAAAATATAAAAAATAATTATTATTTTATGATAAATTTTAAATAAAAATATATATTATTCAAAAATACAAGAAATAATATTTAAATTTTAAACTTTTAACCAATTTAATTTTGTTACATATATCATTAAAAAATAATTTTAAATTTAAAAGGTATAACATTTTCAGCAACATTTTGCAAACAGCAAAAAATTAAGGGACTACATTCATAAGAGGCGTGTGGACAAACAAGAAAAAAAAGTTCTCACTAATTGAATTTTCTTACTTGTAATAATTATATTTATATTGAGACTAAATAATATTAAGAAGAAAGAGAAACAATTATTAATTAAATAAAAAAGTAACAAGAAAATATAATGTATATTTTTATCAAACTCTCTCAATTCAATAATAATAGTTTTAGACTCAGTTTGACTTATAATTGTAATTGTAGATTTTTTAATCTTTTAACATCTCAAACAATTATTAATTAAATAAAAAAGTAACAAGAAAATATAATGTATATTTTTATCAAACTCTCTCAATTCAATAATAATAGTTTTAGACTTAGTTTGACTTATAACTGTAGTTGTAAATTTTTTAGTCTTTTAACATCTCAAAAAATATATAAAGTATATTTAATATTTATTTTAATTAATATTTTATATATTTTTAAAATAATAAAAAGTTATAAAAATTAAAAATTAAAGTATCAAAAAAATTCTCAAACAAAATCTTAATTTAATTTTTTTTTTTTTACTTTTATGATAAAAATTCTAAGTAAAAATTTCATATAATAAATAAATATCAATTGAAAACTATTTTTTTCTTGTATGTAGAATTTGTTTAGTAATTTTATTTTATCAAATAAATTTAATTATTATTTTTAATTTTTTATACTATATTAAATTTTTATCTAAAAAGATAACATTAAAATAAATGTATTAAATAATATGTTTAAATAAAAAATAATGAATAACTAATTTGACACATCTAAATTAAAAATAGAAATCCATTACAACTAAAGTTGAATAGAAGCTATTTTTTAATATTCTTTTTATTGATAATATATTCCTTTTAATTGGATTCCACTTAAAAAATAATTTAAAAGATCTAATTCTAAATTTTTATTACTCTTAAATCACTCTATATATAATTAGAGTTACACATTATATTCATATAAAATTTGTATTATTTATTTTTTAATAATTAAAATATATTTATATTCATAAAAAATCATTATTTTTATTTATAAAATCTTACTAAAATTTTAAAATAAAAAATAAAAATTTTATATAAACATAATTTATAAAAATATATATATATAAATATATCCATTTTCGTATAATTAAATTAGTTTCAGCATCACAATACAAGAAAGCACCAGCGCGTGTAGGGCAACAATGCTAGTGGCGCGATGATTAGTGTACTTTTGATCGGTCCTAGGTCCTACGCCATCCTCTTCCCTTTGTTCTGCCTCTCCTTCCCGCTACGCACCGACTCGATCCACAATTATAATATCCTCTGAGTTGTGCTCCTACGCACACCTTCACTGATTAATTACTATACTTATCTCCTTTCTCTTATCCACAATACACATCAAAGCGAGACGATTCCGGGTACGTTTGCTAAAAAAATTCTCACATCCAGATTAATTTTTCTATTTTTAGTACCCGCAAGTAGAAGTCTAAATAATTCACAATCCACAATTTTATCTGTCTCATTAATTTTCGGGGCAAGTTTTGTTCTTGCAAGCTCAATTCAAATCCTATATTTAAAGTTGTTTTCTGTCTCTTTCTCTCCACAGAAAATTTTTTTTTTTCGTTTAACACCATTGCTGTGAATTGGGATGGCCATTTTTCTCTAAACCAATATCTGATTTCTGGATAACAGTTGGGTTTTCTACTTCTCCTTCGGTTTACTGGGTTTTCCTTTCATTTGTTTGTTTTACTTTTTTTGTTTTTGTATGGATTTTCAGAATGGAGGCTAAGCTATCATCTGATGGATCAAAATCTTTTGAACTTGGGGATGTTGAATGTTTGAAAGAGGTTGGGTATGGGAATTATGGGTATGTTTCAAGTTCTTTACTTTCCAATTGAATTTTTGTTTCATGGCTGTTGTGCAACTTTTTGATTGATAATTTCTGGGTTTGTGGCTCTTGGGGTTTGGAAATTAGGTGTTCACATTATAGAAGGAGATGTAAGATCAGAGCACCATGCTGCAATGAGATATTTGATTGCCGACATTGCCATAATGAGGCAAAGGTAAAAACTTTTGGGAATATTCCTTCAGTTTTGATTGTTTTCTGTCCCAATTTTCAGCTGGTTCTGATTTTTCTTTTCCTGAATTATTGTTGAACAGAATTCTATGGACACAGACCCTCTTGATCGTCATGATATTCCACGCCATGAAGTTCAAAAGGTCTAATTTTTCTCCCTTTGATTAATTTATTGATCAAACGGATACTACCTTCTACTTTTATTTATAAATCAATTTCAATTTGAGGTGCTAGCTT